TTACCCAGGTTAATTACATGTAAAAATGATAAATTACTTTTTACCACTGAAGACTATCATGCCCTCTAATCTGAGTGTTTAATTTACATTTTACTCTGTGGTTTACATGCATTACTACCGTGAGTCCAATAAACCCGAATGAGACAGAATTGTTTAGCCATCTGTATAAGCTCACTATATTTTGGAAAACATAATAGCCCCCAAATGCTTTAAAATTTTAGTTCATTCACTAATTTGTTTATTCTATACTATATAAAATTATAACAATGCTGGGGCCAGCAGGTGGCATGGTAGCTGAGTCACTGGATTCCCACATGGCTGATCACAGTTCAAGCTCTGGACCTGGCAAACTGAAAATCATGCCAGGCATGTGTGCATTTATGCCCAAAATCCCAAGAGGAGAATGGAGAAGTGATTGCAGCACAGCCATAGAACCTAGGGGAAGTTGATTTCTCATTTTACCTCTCTCTGTCTCTCACTGTCTCTCTAGTGAGTGCACATGCCCTATGGCAAAAACCTAGAAAAAATTATAATACCACTTTCTTAAACCATTGACTTTATTTGGAAACCATAGGTCAGAAGAGTTTCTACTATGAGATGATGCTCATTAAAAAGGTGAGATTAAAGTGGTCATCTAAAAATGTCATTGTTGAAATCGGCAGATTTTAATTGCATTAATTATTTGTTTTATCTGAATGTTATCTGTTTAATTGTGCAATACCAAAGGCAAATACAATAAAAAGCAGACACTCCTATACTAAATCATAGGCTTCAAATGCTGGGCAAATAAAAGGCCTAAGCAACTCTATTTCTTGCAATGTGCTTCCCAAACTTTTCTCAATACAATACAATAAATAATTTGGCACTTGCATGAAGCAAGAGGCCATTGAAACTAGAGTAGATAAGATTTCAACACTATCTTATTAAGTATGCCAATCATGAGACATTGCAGAACCATGTTTATTGCAGTATTATTCACCATTTCTAGGATATGGAATCAAACCAAAAGTCTAAGAATGGATGAGTAGATTGAAAAAAATGTGTACATGTACTCTGTGAAATACTACTCAGTCATTAAAAAAAATGAGGCCCTGACATTTGATATAAAATGGCCAAATATAGAAAATGTAATGCTAAGCGAAGTAAGCTAGACTATGAAAGACAGGCATTGTATGTCCTTGCTTAATATGTACAGAATGCCTGTGCTCTATAGCAGAAACTGAAATACTGGAAGGTATAATGGCAGTGAGGTCAACTGTAGATACTAGAGACATTCTAGAAAGGGGTAATAGTGGGTGGGTAATAAAGGGTAGCAGAAAGGGGACCAGGGTAATAACAAACAAAATACTTAATAGACACAAAAGTGAAAAATTATCTGCTGGTGATAAAATGTATACTAATGTCTTTGAGTTGACTAATATGCACCACATTCATGCTGGGAAAAATTATGTTGCATTTTTTAAAATGTATAATGATTAAATGTCAATTCAAAATTAAAAAGGGAATAGTACTTTTGTTCTGGTTTTCACTGGATCATGCCACTGTAATCCTGATACTGCCAGAATTCATTCAGATTTTCCCTGGAAAGGTTCACTATATGTTATCTACTACATAAAATAGAGAGCCTATATATTAAGGAAAAATAATTATTTTATATTTTAGTCAATTCAAAACTAAGATGTGTACGACACAGATGTGGCACTTCCTACTAGTGCTATACAAAGTAATCTGAAAGATACGGCGATTTAAAAGAGCAATTAATACTAATATTTAAGAAGAGCAATTAATATTTATTCATTTGACAACATTTACTAAAGGGCCCTTATACCCCGGGTACTGTGGCAGATGGAGAAGACACTGGAAGGTATAATATATAAAATCCTCACAGTTGGGCAGAGAAAAAAAAGACAGATGAGGGCATCTACGGGAGTACACAGAAGGCAGACATAGCTGAGAGTATTAACTATGAGATGGGCCAGGCTTCATGTGGAGAAGAAGAAATTACATATGCAGACACAGACGAATGACTCACAGCACTGTGTGTTTGAAAAACACAATGCAGAGGCCAGATGGTAGCACAGCAGTAAAGCACAAGGCTCTGTGAGACTGAACAATATGGAAAGGTTAGGGGTTCATGTCCAGAGACCTTCCCCAGGACACCAGGTACACACATCTGTGATCTATGTCCAGATGACTCTGCACAGTGTCAAAACCCTATTATGGGTGCTATCTGTCTGTTTCTGTCTCTTCTCCTTGCTTCTCTTGCTCTTTAAATCAATAAATTAACAGACTTTTTAAAAGAACACAATACAATATTATGACAGGCAAAAGTTATGCACTCTATGGCAGCCTAATTTGTTTCCTAGATAAGTTTGAAATTAATACTTTGCCCTACCTAACTCAAGAAAAATTTCCTGAATAACATGAGGTCCACACTCTTACTTATACAAATCTAAGATAAATGTATCTACTAAAAGTTTTTTTTTTTCAAGAGGTTTTTGCTATAGGGCGCACGCGCTCGCCAGACAGACAGAGACAGAGAAATAGAAAGCGAGAAATCATCCCCCAGAGGGGATGGCCACGCTGCAATCCCTTCTCCTCCATTCTCCTCTTGGGATCTTGGGCACGCACGCACATGCACCCGGCATGAGTTTAAGCCACCGGGTCTGGGACTTGAACTGCGGTCGACTACGTGGGAGTCCAGTGACATTATTCATTTGACAACATTTACTAAAGGGCCCTTATACCCCGGGTACTGTGGCAGATGGAGAAGACACTGGAAGGTATAATATATAAAATCCTCACAGTTGGGCAGAGAAAAAAAAGACAGATGAGGGCATCTACGGGAGTACACAGAAGGCAGACATAGCTGAGAGTATTAACTATGAGATGGGCCAGGCTTCATGTGGAGAAGAAGAAATTACATATGCAGACACAGACGAATGACTCACAGCACTGTGTGTTTGAAAAACACAATGCAGAGGCCAGATGGTAGCACAGCAGTAAAGCACAAGGCTCTGTGAGACTGAACAATATGGAAAGGTTAGGGGTTCATGTCCAGAGACCTTCCCCAGGACACCAGGTACACACATCTGTGATCTATGTCCAGATGACTCTGCACAGTGTCAAAACCCTATTATGGGTGCTATCTGTCTGTTTCTGTCTCTTCTCCTTGCTTCTCTTGCTCTTTAAATCAATAAATTAACAGACTTTTTAAAAGAACACAATACAATATTATGACAGGCAAAAGTTATGCACTCTATGGCAGCCTAATTTGTTTCCTAGATAAGTTTGAAATTAATACTTTGCCCTACCTAACTCAAGAAAAATTTCCTGAATAACATGAGGTCCACACTCTTACTTATACAAATCTAAGATAAATGTATCTACTAAAAGTTTTTTTTTTTCAAGAGGTTTTTGCTATAGGGCGCACGCGCTCGCCAGACAGACAGAGACAGAGAAATAGAAAGCGAGAAATCATCCCCCAGAGGGGATGGCCACGCTGCAATCCCTTCTCCTCCATTCTCCTCTTGGGATCTTGGGCACGCACGCACATGCACCCGGCATGAGTTTAAGCCACCGGGTCTGGGACTTGAACTGCGGTCGACTACGTGGGAGTCCAGTGACATAACCATTACACTAACTGCTGGTCCTGAATGTATCTACTAAAAATTTAACAAAGCTCTTCCTAAGAAAGCATCCATGATAATTTAGACCTTTAGAATCACAACTTCTGTGGAAAGGTGTAGCTTACGTTTAGAGAAAAAAGAGGGAAATTAGAAGTAGAAAGAGATGATGATGGAGATATAAAGGTGGTGACTTTATTGTCCAATTAAATTTATGAAAGCAAATCATAGAGAATACCTATAAAGAAAAAGTATGTAGAAGATAAACTAATGAATGAACTATGTAAGATAATGACTAGGTTAATTTGCTTGATTGTAGTATTTCACTATTTACAGTATATGTGTATCAAAACATCATGTTGTACACCTTAAATAAAAACAGATAAACCATGGAATAAATCACACCATGAAATATATGACATTTCCTAAGCTCTTTTCATTATTCTATTATTTAGAGAATCTGCCCACTGTCTCCATATCCACAACAGTGTGCATGCACAAACACACAGGCTGTTCCTCTGGCTCAACAAACAGCACCTGTCAAAGAGTGCCTCAGTGAAGAGTTAAAAATTACTTATGTGGTGAAAAATGGGCTCCCCATTGGAACTGGGAGGATTTGCACTCAAAGACTTGATAAGTCATGTTTGAACTATAAATATACCACCTCCAACCAGATTCACTGAGAGTTGAGCCATAAATGATTCAAAGTATAGTAGCCTTATAGGTCAGGGATAATGCTTATCTGATTCTATCATAGCAACTCACACTAAAGGACTTGCAAAGCATAGCCCAGAGCCAGACCAGGGCCCCCTCTTTGTAGATCCATTTTTCCATTGTATATGACAGTTGATAACAGATGGTATTCAACTTTAAATTATACTTTCCAAAGTCAAATCAAATGACTACCACTGCCCTTAAAGGGATTTATACCTCTGTTTTGAGATCACAGCATTCTGTCAGAGATTTGGGTAAAGGAGAATTTGAGCCAAAGGCAAATTTACACACTAAAGGTATATTTAAAGACCTTTGTGTGCTCCCTATCCATAAACCTTTATCCTCTGCCAGCCAGTCCCTCTCTGGTCAAGCTTTTAGTAAAATCACTAGGGAGCACAGCAGTAACAAGCTTGTGAATCCACAGGCTCCAGCCTCATGTGAAGATATCCAACAATTCTGCCACAGGAGATGCTTGCAATCAATTTTTAATTACAGCTGCAACAGCAACCAGGAGATAAAACAGGCCACTCACTGAGAAGGAACCAAGAGACTGTTTATTGCAATTCAAGTCCACCACCAGCCAGACTCACTGAGAGTTGTGCCATAAACGATTCAAACAACCATACCCAGAAAGTTCTTTTTGCAACAAGATGTTCTTACCTCTGGGATGTTTTCTTATATTTCCTCCTGTAGGAAAAGAAACATAAACACAAAATCAGAAAAGGGGCTGTGGCAGGCACTGGATAAGAAAGGGATTACTTCAGCAAGGATGAGCATGAACATCAATACTTTATAGAGTTTTGTCTCGGTGAGGCTTTTAAGTTTCAAAGTTTGGGATTGCCAACAGAAAGGGGAAAACAAACAAACAAACAAACAAACACCTCTGTGAAATATTAAAGAAGCTTTATTTTAAGCCAATGTGAGAGCCCAGGAAAACTTATGTTTCCAGAAGCCTTGAGAAATTGCTTCCCATGAAGCTGAAGCTGAGTTACAACAGATCTTTTATACATTTTAGGAAAGCAGAAGTTACAATCAAAGTTGTAAATTAATACATGGAGGTTATCCATTGATTTGGTCCCAGAAGACATGATATCTTAAAGTAGACTCAAAGGGGTTTTAGTTTGTTATTGGATAAGAGGGCAAAACTTTATTTAAAATTTGAAGTCAGAAGAAAGTCTTAAGTTTAACTTTAACACAGATGAAGGAGTTTACTAATAATCATATATTGTGTCAGAGTCAGAATATAAAAAGTAAGCCACAATTACAGAGGCAAAGTGACCTGTCCAGTAAGGCTAATGACATATAAACATGTCTCTCCCCAGGCCTCTTAGGAAGGAATTGGAGAAAAAAGAAAACATGGCCAGAGTTCAGTCCTTTGTACAGTTGTTTTACTATGATGCTATGATGACCAGCTGTGTATAACCTTAGTCCTAACAATGAAACATAGAATTCCAAGAGCCTAATGGCTCTGCTACCATGTTCTTCTCTCTCCCCTTTGAGGGCACTATAGCATCTTAATTAGAATTCGGCAGCATCCAGGTTAAAAATCTTAGCCCTTCCATTTTCAGCTCATGAGGTTGTTGTGGAAAATGAGCAGAGGCTTGTAAAGCATTTCTCCTGTCTGTCACATATAAAATGGCCAGCAATGTTCAGTTACTTTGCAATGCCACTGTTGTGATAATAGCACTGAGGTCCTTTTAAAGATGCACCTTTTAGGGAACCAGCAGTTATGATAATAGCACTGAGGTCCTTTTAAAGATGCACCTTTTAGGGAACCAGCAGTTAGTGTAATGGCTATGTCGCTGGACTCCCACGTAGTCAGCCACGGTTCACATCCCGGACCCGGTGGCTTAGAACTCACGCCGGGCGCGTGTGCGTGTGTGCCCAAGATCCCGAGAGGAGAATGGAGGAGAAGGGATTGTGGCGTGACCATCCCCCCTGGGGGGTGATTTCTCGCTTTCTATCTCTCTGTCTTATTTATATATATATATATAAATGCAAATGTATAATCATATAGCTAAACCACAAAGGGGACAATGAGAAAGTCTAGAAGCCAGTGGTGGAAGCAGCATTAAGAGCTTGCTAATGGTCTAGCCTAAGCACTTTCCCAGGAAACAGAACAGGTTCAGTGCTAGCCCACCTTTGCCGTTACAGTCACATTTAGTTTTGGGTAACTCCCTTGTGTGTTGGGAGATAGTAACATCTACTCTGATTATCTCTTGATTATACCTTGAATGCCTAGGCATACTGGCAATCAAGGGGAAAATGCCATAAAGGTATGCTGTCCCAATATCTCTATTTTTTTTCAAGTTCATGTCAGTCTTCATAGACTCTGAAGACCCTCAATAGAGTATGAATAGATCTTCACTGGAAAGGATTATAAAAGGAAACTGCTTGGGGAGGAAAATGCATATCCTAGTGGTATCCCCAGGAATACTATGCCTCTCAGCTGTCCCTGGTTCCATACTTGCATTTTCATTATAGTCACTGCACCCAGGAGGCCAAGTTACTAATTTGCTAATAAAGAGCTTTGTGCCACATGTTTTGTTTTTGTTTTGTTTTTTTTTAAAAAAAAAAGAAAGAAAAAAGAGATTTCAAATTCAGAATTACTGTGACCTGTTACATCTCTGTGAAAATGAAAACACACAGGGCAGTATCAAGTGAAGAAATCCAATATGCAATAGTGAACAATAATGTGATCTTGACTAGATACTTACTGATATTTATTTATTTACATCAGAATGACAACCAGATTCAGGGTAGTAGGTTAAATAGATCATGTCTTTTATTTTCACTTTTATGAATTTTCCAAATTGTATATAAATATGTACATACTCCCATGTGTATATGACCATACATAGATATTTACATGTTTAAATTGTATCATATCAAGTAGGAAGGAAAGTTAACTGGCAGAGTGAATCAGGTCTTAGGCTTTACAGCAACTACTTGCATTCCAACTTTGGCTCAAGCACTAAACTGTACAACGAAACAGTTATTCAACTCATCTGAGCTTCAGTTTCTTTTTCTATAATGGGGAAATAACTTGAGCTCCTATCTTAGACCTTGTTATAAGAAGTGAGGGAGGTAATCTACTTGAATGTCGGTTTTCCAAGGACAGGTTCTTTGTGTGGTTTCCCACTACATCCCAGGGCCTAAAACAGCACATTGTATTCCCTCCAGAAACTATATGAGTATCCACTGATCATTCTCCCTTTCTCACCTGGACCCCTTCACCAGTGGCAGGGCTTCATTAGCACTGCAGTCTAATAAACTTTGAGGAGTCTATGGCAAGACTGAAAAAAACAGGAACCAGTGGACGGTGTAATGTTTACATCACTGGGCTCCCAAAGTCCTAGACCCAGTGACTTAAAACTCATGCCAGGCACGTGTGTATGCATGCCTAAGATCCTGAGAGGAGAAAGGAGAAGAAGGGATTGTGGCATGGTCATCCCCTCTGGGGGAGCCCTGATTTCTCACTTTCTGTCTCTCTCTCTCTCTGATGAGTGCATATGTCCTATGGCAAAAAATCTCTCTAAAAAAAGACAGAAAATAAATGAAAGAGCAGAAAAAAACAAAAACTAAACATTGAAAGTGCACATGGACCAAAAGGAAGGAGGCATTTGGGCCAGAAAGATACCTCTGGCTTCAACTCAGGAGCCCAACTAATTCTGTCAGTGGAAGGTCTCGTCAAAGGTTAGAAGCAAACAAACTTTGCTATTGGCTCCACCAAAGCCTCCCAGTATTGCCAAGGACCATACAAGGCACTGTTGAGAGTGTCCAAAGAATTAAAGATGACCAAAAATAAGAACAGTTTCATTCTCAGCACCTACTACTAAGCACTTGACAACATTAATTCTCATAATTCTGCAAGATCCACTCTCTGTAAGAATTTGGAAGTTAAGATATGCACCCAAAATATTACTGTATTATAATAACAAATGCAAGGGATGACTCAAGGAAGCTTTGTGGAAGAGGTAGTCTTGACTGACAGGTGGATTTTAACAGAGAGAAATAGGGAAGTATAAACCAAGCAGGTAAGAGGGCATGCCTAGTGGCCTCAAACCTGACAATTGGGAGATATGGAATGAAATAGCAGGAGATAAGGCTGAAAAGGGCTAAGGGGAGTACGAAGTTAGAATAAAACAATTTATACCACTAAAAAAGATGATACCTTGAGTTGTATCTTGAGCAATTTCCATGCGAAGCAGGATACTGCACTTCAGCAGCACACAGAAACCCACCATACACCATATTTTGTGGCATTTCATTGTCTCTTATCTATGATTATGTGGAAAGACAAGGCTCTGGAGTATGATAAATTTGGTTCACTTCTCTGTGAGACTTAAGGTAAACTCCATGCTAAGCCAAGCTTCAGTCTCAATGAACTCAGATAAGATAATGTATTAGATTTGCCAGCTACCATGCCTGCCATGTAAGTGACATTCTGAAAAGCTTAGGCCCCTTTGTCATACATTTCTTGAAGTGAGAGTTCCTACCATATGGATTTCTGTATCTATCACAAAGGCTTACTCATAGACTAGTCCATGGTTGACACACAATGAATATCTGCTGGCTAAATAATTGAGTTCACTTATCATTCATCCATATGTGTTATAATAATGGGTTATCCATTTGGTAAACCCAAATAAAGGGAAACCAAACCTCTGACTTTCAGGCCAGCTCATCTTCCTGATGCTCTCTTCCTTCATAGATGCATTCTTAATTCCGTAAGTTGTGAAGTTTCTCCTTACCACTTTGTTCCATTTAGACACAGCCCCCAAATCAAGGCAGATTTCTTCAAAATAGTGTCATCGCTACACTGCAGTCTGAGGGTCTGTGCTTGAAACATAAGTGACCCTTCTGCAACTCAATAGAAATTACTTATGATCTAACTCTCAGATTATCTTGACTGGGCAAGACTAGTGAGACTTGACTGAGCCTTACTTGTTCTTTAGTTCTCAGCTAAAACAAGACATCATTTCCTCCCTGAAAACCTTCTAGCAAGCACCTCTCAAACTGGGAAACACTCGTTATGTGTGTCCCATATGGCCAGAGTGTACCCACATCATTGTATTTATGACTTCTACTGCCTATGATTTGTTATGTTGATGGCAAGAATAATGGCTTATCCATCATCTGCCAATGTTTCTTGCTTGCCTAACATACAGTGTTTGACATAAGGCAGTTGGTCAATATATTATTATTGAATGAATGAATGTATCAAGAAGTTGACACAAAAATGCTTTTTAAAAAATTTATCTCCTTTCTGTTCAGCAATGGTTTACTATGAGCAATGAGGACATCTTCCACAGCCGTGGTTTGCTACACACATGAGCAAAGCAATGAGAGAAGGTTGAAGAGCTCCTGCCTTCATTCCTCTGCTCCACACACATTTCATAATGTGCACAGACCTTCTGCAAAACCTGGAAGGTTTATTCTAATTTGCACTGGCTGAGAGTAAGGCTCAGAGAGGTTAAATAATTTTCCCAAGGACACAGAACCTTACAGCAGCTGAGATAGAAAGCAAATTCTAAAGTCTTCCAAACAAATAAAGGAAATCATGCAAAGAAGTCAAAAGATTCCATGAGGAAACCAAGACATTAGACAAAAACAAATAAAACCAACAACAATGAAATATACTGGGTTCTTTCCAACCAAACACAGGAAATAAGTTGGGAAATAAA